TGAGATTCCAAGATATAATGGGATTCCAAGAAAATATATGTTTATTTCGGTTAAAAGATTTAATAAACCAAACCGAAGAAAAATGTGAACTAGCTGTTCAACAAAATGGTTTAGAATTACAATATGTAAAAGTGCAAACTGACAAAATATGTAAATTAGCTGTTCAAAAAAATGGTTGGGCATTAGGACATGTAATAAAACAAACAGAAGAAATATGCAAATTAGCTGTTCGACAAAATGGTTTAGCATTAGAATATGTAAAAATACAAACTGAAGAAATATGCAAATTAGCTGTTCGACAAATTGGTTTAGCATTAAAATATGTAAAAGAACAAACTGAGGAAATATGCAAATTAGCTGTTCGACAAAATGGTTGGGCATTGGGACATGTAATAAAACAAACAGAAGAAATATGTAAATCAGCTGTTCAACAAGATGGATATGCATTGAAATTTGTAAAAGAACAAACCGAAGAAATATGTAAATTAGCTGTCCAACAAGATGGGTGTGCATTACAATATGTAAAAGAGCAAACCGAAGAAATATGTAAATTAGCTGTCCAACAAGATGGGTGTGCATTACAATATGTAAAAGAGCAAACCGAAGAAATATGTAAATCAGCTGTTCAACAAAATGGTGTAGCATTGGGACATGTAAAAAAACAAACAGAAGAAATATGTAAATCAGCTGTTCAACAAGATGGATATGCATTGAAATTTGTAAAAGAACAAACCGAAGAAATATGTAAATTAGCAGTTAAACAAAAAGGGTGTGCATTAGGATATGTAGGAAACAAAACCAACGAAATATGTGAATTAGCAGTTAAACAAGATGGAAACGCATTAGAATATGTAAAAGAACAAACCGAAGAAATATGTGAAGTAGCAGTCAAACAAAATGGTTTAGCATTACAATTTGTAAAAAAACAAACCGAAGAAATATGTGAATTAGCAGTTAAACAAGATGGAAACGCATTAGAATATGTAAAAGAACAAACCGAAGAAATATGTAAATTAGCTGTTCAACGAAATGGTTGGGTACTGTGTTGTGTAAAAGAACAAACCGAAGAAATATGTAAATTAGCAGTTAAACAAAAAGGGTGTGCATTAAGATATGTAGGAAACGAAACCAACGAAATATGTGAATTAGCGGTTAAACAAGATGGATACGCATTAGGATATGTAAAAAAACAAACCGAAGAAATATGTGAAGTAGCAGTCAAACAAAATGGTTTAGCATTACAATTTGTAAAAGAACAAACCGAAGAAATATGTGAAGTAGCAGTCAAACAAAATGGTTTAGCATTACAATTTGTAAAAGAACAAACCAAAGAAATATGTAAATTGGCTGTTCAACAAGATGGGTTGGCGCTGACGCTGCGATTTTTAAAAGAACAAACCGGTGAAATATGTAAATTAGCTGTTCGACAAAATTGATTAGCATTACTATATGTAAAAAAACAAACCGAAAAAATATGTGAATTGGCTGTTCAACGAAACGGATTGGCACTACAATATGTAAAAGAGCAAACCGAAGAAATATGTAAATTGGCTGTTCAACAAGACGGATATGCGTTAAAATATGTAAAAGAACAAACTGAAGAAATATGTGAATTAGCTGTTCAACAAGACGGATTGGCACTACAATATGTAAAAAAACAAACCAGTGAAATATGTAAATCGGCTGTCCAAAAAAATGGTTTGGCTTTACAGTATGTGATTGAACAAACCGAAAAAATGTGTAAATTAGCTGTTAAACAAAATGGTTTGGCATTAGAATATGTAAAAGAACAAACAAACGAACTTTGTAAAATAGCAATTAAACAAAATTCATCGACTCTACGATTGGTGTCAAAATCTGTTTTACTGACAAATATATTTATGTATTTTAATAATTTTTTATTAGGAGTGTAATAACTTGTTTTTTAACAAAATATTGTTGTATATTTTTTAGGAGTAGAAGATTAGATTAAGGTGGTATACGTTATAATGTCAGTACATATTTTTTTACTTATTATGCCTAAAACGGAACGGTTACTTATGATTTGGGGTGATTTTATTTTTGCCATTATAACGTAATTTTTTTAGGGGGAAATTTTTTAAAGTTGTTTACATATTTATGTTGACTAATATTAAAAACCAAGTCGATGTAATAGATAAAAAACATAATTCTATCAAATTTTTAACATAATGATTACATTTTCTTGATCTTCCGCTCTTGTTTATAAGTATAAGTACCTTATTTTTTAAATCAAAAAAATAATAAAAATGCATTAAAATTGAAAAATAACCCGCATGCCAGGTAATAATATAAATAAACACACAGCAAATGAATTTGGAATATGAAATAAATCAAACTGAGGAAATATGTAAATCAGCTGTTCAACAAAATGGATATGCATTGAAATTTGTAAAAGAACAAACCGAAGAATTATGTAAATTGGCTGTTCAACAAAATGGTTTGGCATTAGGATATGTAAAAATACAAACAGAAGAAATATGTAAATCAGCTGTTCAACAAAATGGAATAGCATTAAAATATGTAAAAGAACAAACCGAAAAAATATGTAAATTAGCCGTTCAACAAGATGGGTATTCGTTACTATTTGTAAAAAAACAAACCGAAGAAATATGTAAAATAGCCGTTCAACAAGAAGGTGGGGTACTGGAATATGTAAAAGAACAAACCGAAGAAATATGTAAATTAGCCGTTCAACAAGATGGATATGCATTGAAATTTGTAAAAGAACAAACAGAAGAAATATGTAAATCAGCTGTTCAACAAGATGGATATGCATTGAAATATGTAAAAGAACAGACTAAAGAATTATGCGAATTAGCGGTTCGACAAAATGGCAGGGCTTTGCAATTTGTAAAAGAACAAACAGAAGAAATATGTAAATCAGCTGTTCAACGAGATGGATATGCATTGAAATATGTAAAAGAACAAACTGAAGAAATATGTAAATTAGCCGTTCGACAAAATGGTTGGGTGCTGGAATATGTAAAAGAACAAACAGAAGAAATATGTAAATCAGCTGTTCAACAAAATGGGATGGCATTAGAATATGTAAAAGAACAAACCGAAGAAATATGTGAAGTAGCAGTCAAACAAAATGGTTTAGCATTACAATTTGTAAAAGAACAAACTAATGAAATATGTAAATTAGCCGTTCAACAAAATGGGTTGGCATTAGAATATGTAAAAGAACAAACCGAAGAAATATGTGAAGTAGCAGTCAAACAAAAAGGTAGGGTACTGTGTTATGTAAAAAAACAAACTAATGAAATATGTAAACTAGCCGTTCAACAAGATGGGTATTCGTTACTATATGTAAAAAAAAAAACCGAAGAAATATATAAATTAGCCGTTCAACAAAAAGGTGGGGTACTGTGTTGTGTGAAAGAACAAACCGAAGAAATATGTAAATTAGCCGTTCAACAAGATGGATATTCGTTACTATATGTAAAAAAACAAACCGAAGAAATATGTAAATTGGCTGTTCAACAAGACGGATTGGCACTACAATATGTAAAAGAACAAACCAGTGAAATATGTAAATTAGCTGTTCGACAAAATGGTTTAGCATTACTATATGTAAAAAAACAAACCGAAGAAATTCGTGAATTAGCTGTCCAACAAGACGGATTGGTTTTGCGACATGTAACAATACAAACCGATAAAATATGTAAATTAGCTGTTCGACAAAATGGTTTAGCTTTACAACACATAATCAAACAAACCGAAGAAATATGTAAATTAGCCGTTCAACAAAATGGTTGGGTACTGTGTTGTGTGAAAGAACAAACCGAAGAAATATGTAAATCAGCTGTTCAACAAAATGGTTTAGCATTACAATTTGTAAAAGAACAAACCGAAGAAATATGTAAATTGGCTGTTCAACAAAACGGTTGGGCATTGATGGTTGTAAAAGAACAAACCGAAGAAATATGTAAATCAGCTGTTCAACAAAATGGTTTAGCATTACAATTTGTAAAAGAACAAACCGAAGAAATATGTAAATTGGCTGTTCAACAAAACGGTTGGGCATTGATGGTTGTAAAAGAACAAACCGAAGAAATATGTAAATTGGCTGTTCAACAAAACGGTTGGGCATTGATGGTTGTAAAAGAACAAACCGAAGAAATATGTAAATCAGCTGTTCAACAAAACGGTCGGGCATTGATGTTTGTAAAAGAACAAACTGAAGAAATATGTAAATTAGCTGTTAAACAAAATTGTTTGGCTCTACAATATGTAAAAGAACAAACCAAAGAATTATGTGAACTGGTTGTTCAACAAAACGGTTTAGCGTTAGAATATGTAAAAGAACAAACTAAGGAATTATGTGAATTGGCTATTGTGCAAAATTGTTTGGCCCTACAATACGTAAAAAAGCAAACTAAGGAAATATGTGAATTAGCAGTTAAACAAATTGGTTTGGCATTAGAATATGTAAAAGAACAAACAAACGAACTTTGTAAAATAGCAATTAAACAAAATTCATCGACTCTACGATTGGTGTCAAAATCTGTTTTACTGACAAATATATTTATGTATTTTAATAATTTTTTATTAGGAGTGTAATGACTTGTTTTTTAACAAAATATTGTTGTATATTCTTTAGGAGTAGTAGATTAAGGTGGTATACGTTATATTGTCAGTACGTATTTTTTTACTTATTATGCCTAAAACGGAACAGTTACTTATGATTTGGGTGATTTTATTTTTGCCATTATAACGTAATTTTTTTAGGGGGAAATTTTTTAAAGTTGTTTACATATTTATGTTGACTAATATTAAAAACCAAGTCGATGTAATAGATAAAAAACATAATTCTATCAAATTTTTAACATAATGATTACATTTTCTTGATCTTCCACTCTTGTTTATAAGTACCTTAATTTTTAAATCAAAAAAATAATAAAAATGCATCAATATTGATAAAATTGAAAAATAACCCGTATGCCAGGTAAAAAAATAAATAAACACACAGCAAAATGAATTTGGAATATGGAATAAATCAAACTGATGAAATATGTAAATTGGCTGTTCAACAATATGGTTGGGCATTAAAATATGTAAAAGAACAAACCGAAGAAATATGTAAATTAGCCGTTCAACAAAATGGTTGGGCATTGAAATTTGTAAAAGAACAAACCGAAGAAATATGTAAATTAGCGGTTCAACAAAATGGTTTAGCATTAAGATATGCATATGTAAAAGAACAAACTGAAGAAATATGTAAATTAGCCGTTCAACAAGATGGTTGGGCATTACAATATGTAAAAGTACAAACCGAAGAAATATGTAAATTAGCCGTTCAACAAAATGGATATGGCATTAGAATGTGTAAAAGGACACAGATGTAATATGTAATTTAGCAGTTCAACAAAATGGTTTAGCTTTGGAATTTGTAAAAGAACAAACCGAAGAAATATGTAAATTAGCAGTTCAACAAAATGGATTAGCATTAGAATATGTGAAAAAACAAACCGAAGAAATATGTAAATTAGCCGTTCAACAAGATGGTTTGGCATTAGGATATGTAAAAATACAAACAGAAGAAATATGTAAATCAGCTGTTCAACAAAATGGAATAGCATTAAAATATGTGAAAAAACAAACCGAAGAAATATGTAAATTAGCCGTTCAACAAAATGGTTGGGTACTGTGTTGTGTGAAAGAACAAACCGAAGAAATATGTAAATTAGCTGTCCGGCGAAATGGTTTGGCGTTGTGTCATGTAAAAGAACAAACCGAAGAAATATGTAAATTGGCTGTTCAACAAGACGGATTGGCACTACAATATGTAAATGATCAAACCAGTGAAATATGTAAATCGGCTGTCCAAAAAAATGGTTTAGCTTTACGACACATAATCAAACAAACCGAAGAAATATGTAAATTGGCTGTTCAACAAGATGGATATGCATTGGAATTTGTAAAAGAACAAACCGAAGAAATATGTAAAATAGCCATTCAAAAAGACGGATGTGCGTTAAAATATGTAAAAGAACAGACCGGTGAATTGTGTGGATTAGCAGTTAAACAAAACGGTCGGGTATTGATGTTTGTAAAAGAACAAACTGAAGAAATATGTGAATTAGCTGTTAAACAAAATTGTTTGGCTCTACAATATGTAAAAGAACAAACCAAAGAATTATGTGAACTGGTTGTTCAACAAAACGGTTTAGCGTTAGAATATGTAAAAAAACAAACTAAGGAATTATGTGAATTAGCTGTTAAACAAAATGGTTTGGCTCTACAATATGTAAAAGAACAAACCAAAGAATTATGTGAACTGGTTGTTCAACAAAACGGTTTAGCGTTAGAATATGTAAAAAAACAAACTAAGGAATTATGTAAATTAGCTGTTAAACAAAATGGTTTGGCTTTACAGTATGTGATTGAACAAACCGAAAAAATGTGTAAATTAGCTGTTAAACAAAATGGATTGGCGTTAAAATATGTAAAAGAACAAACAAACGAACTTTGTAAAATAGCAATTAAACAAAATTCATCGACTCTACGATTGGTGTCAAAATCTGTTTTACTGACAAATATATTTATGTATTTTAATAATTTTTTATTAGGAGTGTAATGACTTGTTTTTTAACAAAATATTGTTGTATATTCTTTAGGAGTAGTAGATTAAGGTGGTATACGTTATATTGTCAGTACGTATTTTTTTACTTATTATGCCTAAAACGGAACAGTTACTTATGATTTGGGTGATTTTATTTTTGCCATTATAACGTAATTTTTTTAGGGGGAAATTTTTTTAAAGTTGTTTACATATTTATGTTGACTAATATTAAAAACCAAGTCGATGTAATAGATAAAAAACATAATTCTATCTAATTTTTAACATAATGATTACATTTTTTTGATCTTCTACTCTCGTTTATAAGTACCTTAATTTTTAAATCAAAAAAATAATAAAAATGCATCAATATTGATAAAATTGAAAAATAACCCGTATGCCAGGTAAAAAAATAAATAAACACACAGCAAAATGAATTTGGAATATGGAATAAATCAAACTGATGAAATATGTAAATCAGCTGTTCAACAAGATGGATATGCATTGAACTTTGTAAAAGAACAAACCGAAGAAATATGTAAATTAGCCGTTCAACAAAAAGGTTGGGCATTAGAATATGTAAAAGAACAAACTAATGAAATATGTAAATTAGCCGTTCAACAAAATGGGTTGGCATTAGAATATGTAAAAGAACAAACCGAAGAAATATGTGAAGCAGCAGTCAAACAAAATGGTTTAGCATTACAATTTGCAAAAGAACAAACCGAAGAAATATGTGAAGCAGCAGTCAAACAAAATGGTTTAGCATTACAATTTGTAAAAGAACAAACCGAAGAATTATGCGAATTAGCAGTTCAACAAGATGGTAGGGTGTTAGAAATTGTAAAAGAACAGACCGAAAAAATATGTAAATCAGCTGTTCAACAAAATGGATATGCATTGAAATTTGTAAAAGAACAAACTGAAGAAATATGCAAAATGGCGGTTCGACGCAATGGATACGCTATATTATGTAAATAAACAAACCGAGGAATTGTGTAAATTAGCGGTGTAACAAAATTGTTTAGCATTAAGATATGCATATGTAAAAGAACAAACTGAAGAAATATGTAAATTAGCCGTTCAACAAGATGGTTGGGCATTAAAATATGTAAAAGAACAAACCGAAGAAATATGTAAATTGGCCGTTAAACAAAATGGATATGCATTAGAATGTGTAAAAGGACACAGATGTAATATGTAATTTAGCAGTTCAACAAAATGGTTTAGCATTACTATATGTAAAAAAACAAACCGAAGAAATATGTAAATTAGCCGTTCAACGAAATGGTTGGGCACTGTGTAATGTAAAAGAACAAACCGAAGAAATATGTAAAATAGCAGTTAAACATTATGGGTTGGCATTAGAATTTGCAAAAGAACAAACCGAAGAAATATGTGAAGTAGCAGTCAAACAAAATGGTTTAGCATTACTATATGTAAAAGAACAAACCGAAGAAATATGTAAATTAGCAGTTAAACAAAATGGATTGGCATTGAAATATGTAAAAGAACAAACCGAAGAAATATGTAAATTAGCTGTCCGGCGAAATGGTTTGGCGTTGTGTCATGTAAAAGAACAAACCGAAGAAATATGTAAATTAGCCGTTCAACAAGATGGGTATTCGTTACTATATGTAAAAAAACAAACCGAAGAAATATGTAAATTAGCCGTTCAACAAAAAGGTGTGGTACTGTGTTATGTAAAAGAACAAACTAATGAAATATGTAAATTAGCCGTTCAACAAGATGGATATGCATTGAAATTTGTAAAAGAACAAACCGAAGAAATATGTAAATTAGCTGTTCAACAAGACGGATTGAATTTACAACATGTAATAATACAAACCGAAGAAATATGTAAATTAGCTGTTCGACAAAATGGTTCAGCATTACTATATGTAAAAAAACAAACCGAAGAAATATGTAAATTAGCTGTTCGACAAAATGGTTTAGCATTACTATATGTAAAAAAACAAACCGAAGAAATTCGTGAATTAGCTGTCCAACAAGACGGATTGGTTTTGCGACATGTAACAATACAAACCGATAAAATATGTAAATTAGCTGTTCGACAAAATGGTTTAGCTTTACGACACATAATCAAACAAACCGAAGAAATATGTAAATTAGCCGTTCAACAAAAAGATTGGGCATTACAATTTGTAAAAGAACAAACCGAAGAAATATGTAAATTGGCTGTTCAACAAAACGGTCGGGCATTGATGGTTGTAAAAGAACAAACTGAGGAAATATGTAAATTGGCTATTGTGCAAAATTGTTTGGCTCTACAATATGTAAAAGAACAAACCAAAGAATTATGTAAATTAGCTGTCCAACAAGATGGGTGTGCATTACAATATGTAAAAGAGCAAACCGAAGAAATATGTAAATTGGCTGTTCAACAAGACGGATTGGCACTACAATATGTAAAAGAACAAACCAGTGAAATATGTAATTCGGCTGTCCAAAAAAATGGTTTTGCTTTACAGTATGTGATTGAACAAACCGAAAAAATGTGTAAATTAGCTGTTAAACAAAATGGATTGACATTAGAATATGTAAAAGAACAAACAAACGAACTTTGTAAAATAGCAATTAAACAAAATTCATCGACTTTACGATTGGTGTCAAAATCTGTTTTACTGACAAATATATTTATGTATTTTAATAATTTTTTATTAGGAGTGTAATGACTTGTTTTTTAACAAAATATTGTTGTATATTCTTTAGGAGTAGAAGATTAGATTAAGTTGTTTACATATTTATGTTGACTAATATTAAAAACCAAGTCGATGTAATAGATAAAAACATAATTCTATCAAATTTTTAACATAATGATTACATTTTCTTGATTTTCCACTTTTGTTTATAAGTATAAGTACCTTAATTTTTAAATCAAAAAAATAATAAAAATGCATCAATATTGATAAAATTGAAAAATAACCCGTATGCCAGGTAAAAAAATAAATAAACACACAGCAAAATGAATTTGGAATATGAAATAAATCAAACTGAGGAAATATGTATTTTGGCTGTTCAACAAAATGGCTGGGTGTTAGAATTTGTAAAAGAACAAACAGAAGAAATATGTAAATCAGCTGTTCAACAAGATGGATATGCATTGAACTTTGTAAAAGAACAAACCGAAGAAATATGTAAATTAGCCGTTCAACAAAAAGGTTGGGCATTAGGATATGTAAAAATACAAACAGAAGAAATATGTAAATCAGCTGTTCAAAAAAATGGTTTAGCATTGAAATTTGTAAAAGAACAAACTGAAGAAATATGTAAATTAGCCGTTCAACAAAATGGTTGGGTGCTGGAATGTGTAAAAGAACAAACCGAAGAAATATGTAAATTAGCCGTTCAACGAAATGGTTGGTCACTGTGTTATGTAAAAGAACAAACAGAAGAAATATGTAAATTAGCTGTTCAACAAGATGGATATGCATTGAAATTTGTAAAAGAACAAACCGAAGAAATATGTGAAGTAGCAGTCAAACAAAATGGTTTAGCATTACAATTTGTAAAAGAACAAACCAAAGAATTATGTAAATTGGCTGTTCGACAAAATGGATTGGCATTGAAATATGTAAAAGAACAAACCGAAGAAATATGTGAAGTAGCATTACAAGAAGAAATATGTAAATTGGCCGTTCGACAAAAAGGATTGGCATTGAAATATGTAAAAGAACAAACCGAAGAAATATGTGAAGTAGCAGTCAAACAAAATGGATTGGCATTGAAATATGTAAAAGAACAAACTGAAGAAATATGCAAAATGGCGGTTCGACGCAATGGATACGCTATATTATGTAAATAAACAAACCGAGGAATTGTGTAAATTAGCGGTGTAACAAAATTGTTTAGCATTAAGATATGCATATGTAAAAGAACAAACTGAAGAAATATGTAAATTAGCCGTTCAACAAGATGGTTGGGCATTAAAATATGTAAAAGAACAAACCGAAGAAATATGTAAATTGGCCGTTAAACAAAATGGATATGCATTAGAATGTGTAAAAGGACACAGATGTAATATGTAATTTAGCAGTTCAACAAAATGGTTTAGCATTGAAATTTGTAAAAGAACAAATCGAAGAAATATGTAAATTAGCCGTTCAACAAAATGGATTAGCATTAGAATATGTGGAAAAACAAACCGAAGAAATATGTAAAATAGCAGTTAAACATTATGGGTTGGCATTAGAATTTGCAAAAGAACAAACCGAAGAAATATGTAAATTAGCAGTTAAACAAAATGGATTGGCATTACTATATGTAAAAGAACAAACCAGTGAAATATGTAAATTAGCTGTTCGACAAAATGGTTTAGCATTACTATATGTAAAAAAACAAACCGAAGAAATATGTAAATTAGCTGTCCGGCGAAATGGTTTGGCGTTGTGTCATGTAAAAGAACAAACCGGGGAAATATGTAAATTAGCTGTTCGACAAAATGGTTTAGCTTTACAACACATAATCAAACAAACCGAAGAAATATGTAAATTGGCTGTCCAACAAAATGGATGTGCATTACAATATGTAAAAGAGCAAACCGAAGAAATATGTAAATTGGCTGTTCAACAAGATGGGTTGGCGCTGCGATATTTAAAAGAACAAACCGGTAAAATATGTAAAATAGCTGTCCAACAAAATGGATGTGCATTACAATATGTAAAAGAGCAAACCGAAGAAATATGTAAATTGGCTGTTCAACAAGACGGATTGGCACTACAATATGTAAAAGAACAAACCAGTGAAATATGTAAATCAGCTGTCCAAAAAAATGGTTTGGCATTAGAATATGTAAAAGAGCAAACTGAAGAAATATGTAAATTGGCTGTTCAAAAAAATGGTTTGGCATTAGAATATGTAAAAGAGCAAACTGAAGAAATATGTAAATTGGCTGTTCAAAAAAATGGTTTAGCATTAGAATATGTAAAAGAGCAAACTGAAGAAATATGTAAATTGGCTGTTCAAAAAGACGGATGTGCGTTAAAATATGTAAAAGA